GTCCCGGTTCGTGGCACGAACCGGTACTAAATACTAAAGGTTAGCCCTTTAGTACCAGTTTGTGCCACGAACCTGTACTAAAGGTAATTGTGGGGCCCCGGCCTGATGCCAGCCTGCCAGCACCCCTTTAGTACCGGTTCGTGACACGAACCGGTACTAAAGGTTCATAACGAACCGACATTAATGCATAGCCGTTCGAACCGGCACTAATGGTACCATTAGTACCGGGCCAAAATCGAACCGGGACTAATGTGTCTCACATTAGGTCCTTTTTCTACTAGTGTTCTCTAGTCATTGAGAATTTCAATCAAACAAATAGATGCCTAATATATTTTGAAATAAAATTATGTTTTACTTTCCGTTTATGCACATGTGTTTTTTCTAGCAAGATTGCTAAAACAAGACCAATATTGAATATAATTTTTTAAATTATTTTTTTGACAACTAATAAATCACCAGGCTTCAAACTTGTTACGTCGAGATTCATTAATTCATGCGAAAAACCAGTACTGTTTTATTTTGTTTCACATAAATAAATCTTATTGCTTCACTATATATGGCTCGCCATGCTCTGCAGCGTATCATAATGTTTTAGTCTGTTTACCAACTAGTTTCATCGTATGTAAAAGTTCTTAAATACGAGTACTTTATATCCAGTATCATTTGGGGGCATCGTGTTCAACCATGTTTTAAAATTTGAATTTTCAAATTTGTTGAAATATAATCAAAAGTGGCCTCATTTTAAAGTCCTCGCCATCATAAACACAAATATGCAAGCGGATCATAAAATGGACTTCCGGTTGAAAAGATAAAATAGATTTAGACTTGGAAATAAAATGAAAAGGCATGGGATTATGGGCTGGAGCACCAGAGAAAAGTCTGACCCACTGTAAGCAGTAGACCAGTAGTCATGAATGCATGCTAATCTTCAATAGTAAAAAACAATGGCTGCTACATGCACGAGATATCCCATGCATGGTAGACATGCATTTCTCGCAGTTAGAGCATCCACAATGTATCATTTTGCTGCCTCTATACCTGCCTCTAAGCCCTTTGAGGCTGTCGCTATACACTGCTGGACCAAGCCTCTTGGGAAAATTCTCTAGCATCGCCTCTAACACAAGAGGCTGCCTCTAAGCCATTTTTTTGCACTAAAATAATTCCCTGGCCCTACTTACAATCCCTGTAGCACATATATTTGTTCAGATTTGGCCTGAGATGGTTGAAGAGAGTAAATATTTTATGTTACATATGGGCTCCACCTTAGAGGCTGCATGCCGTAGCTATACATTGCGTTTCTTTTAACTATACTTAGAGGCAGGGGTGGAGGGCCCACCTTAGAGGCAGTGTGGCCTCTACACACTACAAAACTAGTCTCAACTTTCATCCGCAACATATGGACTTGGCTATTTGAGCGTCAGTTCCCTGACTGATAGGACAAGATACAACTTAACTTAGAATACATATATAGTATAACCCAACTACGCATCAATTTTTTCTCCCGCTTGCAGACTTGAGAATGTCAGCCAGCACCCAAGGGCAGTTCGCCTCCAGGTCCTTGTAGCCCTCCGTCGCCAACACGGCACCAAGAATCGCCGGCGTTCCGACGATGAACTCAACGCACGTCGCCTTGAGCCGCGGGCAGTTGTTCATGTCCGCCAGAGCCAGAATCCTGGCCACCGTCCCGACGCAAATGCTAGCAGAGAGCTTCTGCGAGCAGATCAGCTTGAGCCTGTCCAGCCCATACCTGTCGGCGGCCGCGAGGAGGCTACAGGTCAATGCCACCGACTCCTCATCGTCGTGTCGGTCGAGCTCCGGTGCCGTGTCTGTGTAGATGAAGTGCAGCATGGCCTTGAACTCCGCCGCCTCCATGCCGTGGACCTCCAGGCGCCGCGCGCACTTCTTCTCGCTCGCGTCCCCGAAGAACTCGGCCATGAAGAGCGGTGACCTCGCGGCGAGCACGACCTTGTGCGCGGGGAACGTTTTGCCGGAGACGACGAACGCGATGTCGGATCCCGTCCCGCTCCGCAGGAGCTCCCTGAGGTGCCGGTCCAGGTCTGTGGCCGGCACAGGAAGCGACGCGGGCACGTCCACTCTCGGGCGCTGTTCCCGAAGCACCGTGATGGTGCATTTCACGGTGAGGGTGCCGTCGGCCCCAAGGTAGCTGGAGATCTCCAGGTCGCGCCTGTGCGCCAGCACGAGCGGCGCCGACTCGACGCCGTGGTGGCCCCGGAAGGCTGCAGACACCGTCCTGGCCTCCGACTGCGCGGCCAAACCCGCGGGATCCACGAGCCAGCAGTCTAGGCGCGCATTGACGACGTCGCCGGCGGCGGCGGGATGGGCGAGGAGCACGAGCTTGAGCGACACCCACATGCTGCACACCGAGGACGCAGGGTAGCAGCGGATCTCCCACTCATGCCAGCCGACGCTCCACCTGGAGCATACCACGACGCACTCGTCGTGACCGCTGGTCGCCGTGGCCGAGGCCGTGGAAGTCGAGCTGAGGCCGTCGATCTTGAACGTCCGAGCGGAGTGCGCGGCATCGGCGAGGGGCCTGGTCGGTACGACTTGGGCGTTGCCCATGGCTCTTGTTTTGCCTGTGCTTGATTCGGCTTGTGCAAACACTTACGTGAGAGTACTCGGCACGTGCGTAGATAGCAACTTTCGACCGGGAAGAGAAAACACACGTCCGTGCCCGTGCCCTACGTGCATGTATTTATTTCGAGGACAAGACCGTGTACGAGTACGATCCGAGATGTACTCATATGTACGGGTTCAACACGGAAACGAAGCACGTCGATCGATTTGTTCCAAACTAAGACCCGTGCGTACCCGCCGGCCGGCCGGCCGGCCAGCGACAGGGAACCCCACCCATGGCGGGGCTATGCCCTATCCTCCCTGACCAGGTCATCGAGGACATCTTCGCGCGGTTGCCGGCCAAGTTCGTGCACGTACAGATGCCGCAGCCTCTCTCGCGCCTGGGCCGGCACACTCGCCTCCGATGACTTCGCCGACCTCCACCTTCGCCTAGCCAACCGCCACGGCGGCCCCAGGGTGCTCCTCCTGCAGGAATCAAGCTCACGCGACAATGGACGTCCGAAGATCCAGGCGTGGTCGCCGGCCCACCCACGGCCAGCACGCTCATGGTGGTCCCCCGCGCCCGCACACACGAGCCCTGTCCATTCAATGTTACACGCTGTATCAGTCCGACTAACTTCGTCCCACGCCTCTTGACGCAACAGTGCCATGGCCTCGTCATCATGATGCAGTCTTTTTTTTTTTTGGTTGTAAAGGAGATAATATTACGGCTCTCAGGCAGGTGCATCCAACTTGTTTAAGTGCGTGCTTGGATTGGATGGATTCCGAAGGGACTCTGGACTGGCATCCAACTAACCGTTGCTCCTGGATTCTTTCAAACAACCTTGTTTCTCGCGATCACAAGTTTGATAGTTTTTGTTGCGTGTATCTTCAACTTGAACCACTGTAATATTATCCATGCGTATGAGAACATTTTTGCATTCCAACCGATTGACCAGCTTCAAGCCTCCATACAATGTTGCGGCCTCCGCTGAAACGACATTGGAACATGCACTAGTTTTGCTCTTGCCGCTGCCAAGAATGCTCCACTATGATCCCAAATCACTGTGCCGCAAGACCCTATAAATTCAACTTCGGAAAAAGAAGCATCAACGTTTAGAATAGTCTGGCCCAACATCGCACTTCTCCACTGATTTAGGCGTGGGGATGTTGCCAGTTTCCCTCCAGCCCAGACGAAGTTCAACACCAAAGACTGAATCGCTAGCCCCGTACGTACTAGTGTTAGGACATCTTCTGCTCTGACAATGCATCGCCTCTGCCACCATAAGTACCAGCAGTACCTGCCACAATCTCTGGAAATTGCACCGGATCCATCTATGCCCCTTGGACTGTCGGGTCACATACCCAGGACTCGATGATCACGGAGCCCGATTGATCAACCTTTAGCGCCTTGTCAATTAACCTCCTCAGCCCAGTACCTCTCAAACCGAAGGTGCCCCATCACATTTGAACAAAACATGTGCTATGTCCTCGGCTCTAGATTTACATATCGGGCATTGGGATGCGGTACCAATATGACAGATTTTCTAGGACACATAAGTAGGTAATTGCATTGTGTAAACAGCGAAGTTCTCTTCGGATAAAACCTCACACTGGGTAATCAATCGTTCCATAATAGTTGACAGGCCACAAGTGTCTCTCGAAACGTCGATGTGTACACTTTTTTTTAACACATTACGGACACAGACTCTCATACGTACGCATATACACTCATCTCTATAAATGCTCGCATGCAGCATCTTCGATAGACTGAGTCGGCATATCATCTTGAGATTGAGAAGTCGTCACAGACACCTTCGTAGTCAACGGGGACATCTCCTCCCACTGAACTCACATTGCTGGAAGGCCTGGAATAAATCCAGGAAAATGCGAGCAGCAATGTCAAGTCCGGGACTTGAACTCTGGTGGGCAGGGGATACCACTGCCTCCTAACCATCCAATGTCGATGTGTACACTAACAACCGAAAGCATGTTTCACAGATCTGTTCAGCTGTCCGGCTAGTACTTTTATCTTTAGAAAAACCAGCACTTTTATTTTAAGTTGTAACGCATGAAAAAAGAAAACTTGCTGCGAGAGACATGTGTTGAAGGTTATATATTAAACGTGTTGAAGGTTATATATTGACATCGAAGATCATATGTGTGCCTGTTTTATTTAGGTGAGAGTAGGTAGTAGTATCGGCCCATTGGGTCCCACACGATTTCATCGACGCTTCAGCAACAACTTCAGGTCTAGTGTAAATTAGTTAACTAGTTCCTTAAGGTTACAGAATTTTCTTTTGGATTATCTAAATGTGACATAACAATGTAAAAAAAATGTGATCAACCTGGGCTAGACTAGTCTGTTGGCATTTTTTATAGAAGAAACTCCTGAGCACCGAACGCTCAAGCCGAGATTTGAACACTAGTGGGCTGGCTACGAACTCTCGTGCCTTGCCAACTGAGCTACGCTCAATTCTCGTGACAATGTCACATCTAAGTATGATAGCGTCATCTTATTTCTTTGTGGTTTGTCTTGTTTGTTTGACTTGACAATTTCTTTGTGTGTTGCAACAGGGACATACTTCGGTTCAGAGCAAACAAAATGTATTTGAATCAAGATGGTTTAATTTGCCACCTCGTGGTATTTGTCCATAGAACATTCCCCACGAAGAATTGCATCTCACGACAATGATACACCCCGTAGGATCTGCTAACATTCGGTCCATGTCCGTGTATGGCATGGACCATGGTGCGCCTGTTGGACAACAACAATATGATGATGGACAATGTCTAGGAGGTCGGTGAAATATAATGAGTAGATGTATGCGAGTATTTGAAAAAACTCTCACAGAGTATAATGTAGGCTTATGGTGGTTGGTGTAGATTGAACGGTGAAATTCGACCTCAACGATGCATGATTTGAGCTCTTCTTCGTCTGAATAAATTGACCTCATCGACACAATCTTGAAGGTGCGATGGTACGCTTAGAAGGGCTCTGCATGCATCAGGGATAGGGATGAAAATGAAGCGGAAAGTTTCTTCTTTTCGGCTAAAAAATGGAAACGGAGAGGGAAAATGGAAGTGGAAATGGAAATTCGCAAAATGGAAATGAAAATGAAATTTTCTGCGGGGAAACGAAAATGACAACAGAATGATGTTTTCCGGTGGAACAAGCACGGAAAAGGAATATTCCATTTCCATTAATATGGAACTTTTCGTTTTGAATTGGAGCACATGACTATTTTGTAGCCCAACAAACACACAATTAGGCCCTATACATATTGAGCAGAATTGCCTAGATGGCCCAACTTCTATAGTACTACTACTACCACATAGAGCATCGGAGTACACGAGCAGGATCCCTAATCCCTAATCGAGCACGCCGCCATCAGTGACATACCCTATTGCATAGGCATGAGATATCTATATTTTGTAATCATCTCATCAATCGAACAACTTTATTGGTTTCCTTGTTTTTCTGTGTATGGTTCAAGGGGCTTTCAGTTTCAGTGAACACTCCACTTTCGTCTCTGTGTTCGTGCCGTAGTCGCTCCATTTCCGTTTCTGGTAATATTTGTTTCCCTTCGGTATTCATATTGGCTTCCACACAAAAATATGAAAATAAATATGGCAACAACTACTTCCATCCGTTTCTGCTCCGTTTTCATCCCTAATCAAGGATGATAATGATGTCCAGTGATGCATCAAGAGGATAGCTTTCTAATGTTACACGATGTGCATCAGCCTGTGGAAGGTACCTTTGTGCTACCCGTGTCTCTACCTGTGCGTGCGTGGTAGATCGATACATCAGATCAGATCGGATAGCGGCGCAAGAGAAGAAGCAAACGCCCTGGATAAGTTGTGTCGTGTCACTACTCGAATCTCTTTTTTTTGCGAAGAACCATAGGGTATTTTATTCCAGAGTGATAGAGTTACAATCTTCAGCAACTAGTTTGCTAATGCATGGGGTGGATGACCCAACCAACAGGCTGTGCTATCCCCACATCTACCAAAATTAGCTAAACAATGTGCAACCCTATTCTGTTCACGAAGAATTTTGACAGGAATAACTACCCTATCATTCAAGAAGCTTTTGATCTCCGACACCAAGTGCCCATATGCCGACCTGTCCAATGAACCATCCCCAAGCATCTTGAGAGCCACCGCACAATCAGACTGAATTACAATAGTGGCTTGAGAATGCTCTATCGCCAGCTTCAACCCTTCCATCATAGCTTGCAGTTCTGCCTCGAGAGCTTCATTGCAGTGGAATAATTTGCGGTAGGATGCGAAGATAACAGTCCCGGTCATGTCTCGAAGAATCATTCCCGAGCCCGCTGACCCGTCCGTAGGGTAAAAAGAGCCATCTACTGACAACGCCACCTGGTGCACCTGTGGAGGAGGCCAAGGTTTGTGAGGTGCATGAATCCCAGATGGGGGCCTATGTGTAGGTTCATGAACCAATAGTGCTTTCCCTTTCATAATTTCCTCAACACTGAGCGAGATTTGTTGGAAGGTGTTATAGTAACTTGCCAAGAACGACCAGGAAACCTCGAGTGGAGGGATAGATTTACCATGAGTAAATTCGCTCCGCAGATGCCATATACGCCATAGCACCATAATGATTTTGCTCCTGATTTTCTCGTTTGATTCCGCTAGGAGGTGGAGCAACCACTCTGAGCCCGTACATGGAATATCTGTTCTGGGGGGAAGTGGCCAGACTAGCCGCATAGAATCCCAGAGCATAGCAGCATTAGGGCATACAAGTAACGCATGAAGTGAGGACTCCTCCT